CCCACGTTATAAGGAAGGCACAGGCGGGCGCGGGCAAATCGAGCCTTGGGCCTCTTGTGGTCAAATTGATAGTATAGTGACGAAGTGATAGCCGGAGACTGAATTTGGAGACTGAATTTGTTGAAACGGCTGTAGCTAAATAAAAATTGTCCATCGTCCAATAAAACTGGACGATGGACGTCCATCGTTCATCGTCCAGCGTCCATCGTCCAGTCCATCGTCCAGGTTTTAGCACATGCCGTGAGGTTATATTGACTTTGGCCAAACAAACAAAGCTGATAACTGCTTATTTGCGATCACAGAAATGCACGCGAACGAGCTTTGAAATAGCAAGTCATTCAATATATTTTGCTACATAAACGATGGAAAGTAGGACAAACCGGTCAAAAATGTTAAACCTTCTCAAATCACATTGCCTATTATTGAGCATTCTTGTTGGTGTCCTGCTTGGTTGCATTATTGGTATCTTATGTCATGATCTTGTTCAGAATTCTGAAGATCCTTCACCTCAAAGACTCGCTATGTATATAAAATTTCCTGGCGAACTTTTCATACGAATGTTGAAATTGATCGTAATTCCATTGATAACCTCAAGCATCATTGTTGCATTGAATGATATCGATATCAAAAGTGCTGGTCGCCTGGGCAAGAGAACCATGATCTATTATATAACAACCACAATACCTTCAGCAATACTTGGTTTAATTCTAGCGACTATAATTAAACCTGGCAGTGGTGTTAATAAGGAAGATAAAGTATCCGACAATATCGAACGTGATTCTGTCGATTCATTTCTAGATTTATTGAGGTACGGTATGACATAGCCCATATTGGTCTTCTAATATTAGGCCCCTTGCATTGTTTACGTTTTCTTGACTTTAAAGGTGGGCAAAAGCTTTTTAAAATTCTCCCAAGAGAGCTTCGTTGCATTTGTTGAATCCCAACGGATATGTATAATCGGTACACCCGGAAGGCAGACAATATTTTTATCGACAATTTTATTCGCCGAAGGCGAAGACAATAGTTGAATATTTGATATGTTTTGTATGTGATATTATATGAATATATGTACGTTTATTAAACGTACTTAACTTTCGCAACAAGTATATACAGTATATTTAGCTTTATTGTACTTAATGCTGCCACACACTAAATGGTACTCGTGACGGATTCCTAACCAAGAGGGAGTTTAAACTTCATGTTTGCGGTCAATAGCCAGCAAACGGCAAATCTACTTCTTCGCTTTATATTTTATCTCAAAAGAATGATTACAGTTTTAAAATAACAATTTTATTTACTCTTCATTGCCTCGTAGCGTAAAATTTTTCATTGCCCGGAGTTTCTCGTTGGGATGTATGAACGCGAAGCGCTAGCTCGATTTACGAACGTTTGACTTTGTCGTTCATTAATAGCATAAATACAAAGAAAGATCGATAAATATTATTCCACGTGTTTGATAATACATGTCATGTCAAATATGTAAATATATGCAGGGTTTGGCACAAGTTTGATCTTTTGCTAATATACGGTAGTATTCTCATACATATTGCTGAAATGTTGTTTTTTATGTCAAAGGACAAACTAATTGACTCAATAACATGTCGACACAGGACAATGACATTGACGTGTCAATGAGTATTATACAGTATATCAGATAGCGTAATGGCATGCAAATTGCAATTGTTCTACTGTATCACAATATGTGAGACATGACTATGTTATGTGTTTTGACATGTGTTGAGCGGTATATTTGAATACAATTATTGCAACTTCAATAAACCAAGTTTCATGCCGTTTGGCGTGAACTTTCGAGGAGTTCTAGACTGCATGTAGCCAGTGGCGTAGCCAGCCCGACGATTTAGTCCCGCTATGCAAATTCAAAATTATTATCATTATTCGTTTCTTTAGAAATTGATTGTTTTCACAGTCAGTGAACACGAAAATATTTGCATAGCCTGACTAAATAGTCGGGTTGGCTACGCTACTGCATGTAACGGTTTCCCCACAACCTAACTGAACAATTCAACTATACCATGGTATGGCAGGCAACTGAGGCAAGGGACTAAAGGGAGTTAGTTATTACAGTTGATCATAACAAGTTATTTTGCAAATCTAGCACGCACTGTCGCCAGTGGGAACTACATGCGTGGTCGATATATACAGTATGGTACTGTATGTATCATGTATGGTCGACAAAATCGATCGGTCAAAATAACTCATTGCATGGTTGCCGGTCAAATCCTTATCGAATATCAATTTACACAACTCCAGGCAGGAGTAACCAACACTGAACCTGTTATCGTATCATAAAGAAAAAGATCACTATAATAATATCATTAACTTTGGCAAAAACGGGTAAACAATTAGTAACTTAATAGACATAGTCCTCATCAAATCTCATGATTCACTGTTTTGCCTATTCTGGCGTATGACCTCCGATATCGCTTAATCTTTTGTGTTGAAACCATCAGTTCCACCCTGGTGGTCATAGTCAGTGTCAAGGACAGGTCGACGGACTTGCTAGCCTAACGCGGATACGGACGGACGGATGGCGACGGAATAACGGATGACTTATGTTCTCGTTAAACGTCATTTGACAGTCATATCCAGATATGGTCTAAACTGAAACTTTTTCATACGCGGATATGGTCTAAAATAGTTTTCATGCCTTTATAAGCATTTCCGCGTTTTGTCCAAAAGGATAAAGGCACGAAAAAGCCGAACCATATTTTTCTGAACCATATTTGCGTTTTGGATAAAACGCAGATATAACTGTTAAATGACGTAAACGCGGATATAATTTTCAAATGACATCCGTCTGTCTGTCTGTCCGCCATCGGTCCGTCCGTCCGTATTCGCATTTTATCCTAAAGTAAACCCCTTATCAAAGTATGTTTTGGCAAGGTTTTTCGATGTCATCACAGATGTCATTTACTCGTTATCAGTTTATCCAGTTTATCACAACACGTACAAGAAACCAGACATACAAACTTGCTAATATGATGGCGAAACGGCATCGCTGCAAAGCCATCTAAATGACGACTTGCTACCTCTCCAGAGCGACAATTTCGCTGTGTCGTTGTTGTATAAATTGTATAAAGTATGATGAAATCTATTTTAAACAAACAAGCATCTACACAATATTCAAACGCATCCGGTATTCAGTATCACACCTATCCACACATTATCACTTCTAATTACAACTTACGCGGCAAAAAACTAGTGGCTAAAATATAAAATAAATATTTTTTGTTATATCTCGGTCACATTTTAATATTTTCAAATAAAACTTGCGGCAATCGAAAGATCTCCAACCCCTCAATGTAGTCAGTAACAATGTGAAAATCTAGGAAATTTTTAACGTGTGTTCAGGTGGATGTGGAGTTTATTATTATATTTTCATGGCTATATTTTCATGAATTATTTTTAGAAACATTTTCCCAGACAACCTGATGGAAGCGTTCTTCAAATCGGTAAGATATGATGCAACATTAGGATGTAATATATGAAGAGCGAGTGTTTCACCGGGATGTCCAAACACGAGAAAACAATGTATGAAAACACGAGCGCGAAGCGCGAGTGTTTTCATACATTGTTTTCGAGTGTTTGGATATCCCGGTGAGACACGAGCTCGAGTTGTTTATATGGCTTCTCAAATGAATCGAGACGTAACAGAATGTTTTCGTTTGCCTGATTTGAATAGAATTCTTAACCAAGCATAACGTAATTAGGAATTCTATTCAAGTAATTTTGCATGCGTAATTAAGATATTTGATGAAAACACTAGTGACTTTCATCAAGTTTCACCGGGTTATCCAAATGGCATCTTGTGATCAAATAGGTGATTATCATTGGCTGAATTACTCATGAATTATTAATGAATTTGAGAAGTAATATATGAACAACGAGAGAGAGTGTTTCACCGGGATATCCAAACACGAGAAAACAATGTATGAAAACACGAGCGCGAGTGTTTTCATACATTGTTTTCGAGTGTTTGGATATCCCGGTGAGACA